GCGCGATAGATTTCGGCCGAACGAACGCATCGCGAGAAATATCTTAAAGCAATGTATCGAGCTTCGAATCTACACGTCGCGCGGGTGCCAAATACTAAGACACCATTGAATACGGGAAGCTCATAAGCGATGCGCTTACCGATTATAGCGATTATATATATATACGAGCCAAGACGAATAGACCCGTCGTCCTGTACCCGCCGACGCGCGACGTTCCGTTCGCGATGACGAGGGATTAGAGAGTGACGTCACGATGCCCCGTGATCCCGCGCGATCGATTTCGGCCGAACGAACGCATCGCGAGAAATATTTTTGAGCGATGTACCGAGCGTCGAATCTACGTCGCGCGAGTGTCAAATATTAAGACACGATTGAATATGAAGCTCCCAATAACGATTGCGCTTACCGGTTAAACATGCCACGACGAACGGATCCATCCTGTATCCGCGAGACGTTCCGTTCGCGACGACGGGAGATTCGAGAGTGAATAGAGTGAATAGTGACGCCACGCTAACGTCGCCAACTTCATAATGATCCCGCGCCGCCCGCGCGCGACACGACGCGCGCAATCGCCAAGTTCGAATGCCGAATCTATATACACGATAGTTAAATGTTATTATTACAAAGAATGTAAAATACAGAATTGATGCAGGTTTTGCTTACTAATTAAATTTAAAGTATTTAGTAATAAAATTTAAAGAAGCATCTTCTGTCTAAAATCTATAATCTATTTACTCTAATACATTGTAAAAGTTGAAAATAGAACAAATGATATATGACTTTCGTAGATTCATAAAACGCTGTCTTGATAATTAAAATAATAAAGAATTTCAATCAATTAAAAATCTAGATAATAAAGAAATTAATATTTTATAATATTTATATTTACACTTTGTATAAAAATATAAAAAAATGCATATTTCATTTCTCATCAATATACCTGCATTAAAATAATCAAAAAATCAAAGATTAGTTAAGGAAAATATATTAGTTATAGCATTTATAGAAAATATTAAACAATCTGATTATCACGTTTGAGCTTATGGATTTTTTTATTACAGTTTGTAAAGAATTACAAGGTGCAAAATATTATCTTCTATATCAGAATTAATAAAACGAATTACTTTTATATTTTATTATTAACTTATAAATAATTGAAATTAAATAACTTCAATATATGATTCATACTTTATAATACATATATTTTGCAGATGTAAATTCTTGCAATTATTTTATTATATCTAATATTTAATTACTTATTTAAAAATATACCGTGTTAATAGCAGGGTTTAACGAAAAATTGATACATAACTGCCAAGAAATTTACACATGCGCTTGTTTTAAGATATTTTTAGTTTCACTAGCATCGAAATTCGTAAGGTAAAATAATTTGGCGTACTTAGTTCATTTTTGCATTGTAAGAGAATATTATTACAAATTAATTTTTCTGGGTAAAATTGAATATTTTCAGTTTCTAAGTATTTCTTACATTGTTTAGATAAAACATAAATTGCAAAAACTCTGTAAAGAGCAAATTTTTCTTTTCATTCTTTCTTAAAAATTGCAGTTAGATGTAATTTTTTATTTAACATATTAAATTACATACCGAAACTTAATACATTAATTATGAAACAATTTTTCTGTAAACATTTATTTATAAACTTTTATAATATATGTATACTTATGAACTGTGCACAATATACGCACTACGCAGTTAGATGTAATTTACATATGTATAAGTGTGAATGTATGATTAAAACAACATTGAAACTTTATAAAAACAGTAACTTTTGCTAATTATTGTAATATATTTAATAATATATAATACTAATATAATAATACTAATATAAAATGCCATTAAAATTGTTAAAATAATTGTAATAAAAAGAAACAAATAAAATCTATGTAAATTCATAGCACTTCAAATTTATCAGTATTTTACTGCGATTTGACAGTGCATACGTACTCTTTATTTGATGCATTTGATTTAGTTTTGTTGAAATTGATATCTAAATAGATAATACGATACGAGAACTCAAAAGATTTCATAATATTTCTTTTTAGGCGATACCGCGTACATCACATGTGATCTGAATCAAATTAAAATTAAAAACAGTTAAAATAGTAAAATTTAATTTCTACGTTTTACAAATGCATCAATATGATTGGATTAACTCAACAAAAATTGCAATAATTGTTGATGTTTTTTCTTAAATTGGAGGTATTGCTTATAGTTTGGTCCGTTTTTTCTTAAACTTGTGTCTGACTACCCCACGCTCTCGAAATTGCGGATCTCGTGAGTTTTTTACCGATAGTTTGAACAACAAAACCGATCCTTTGTAACCGATCGTGATTCAAAATCTTCCTTCCGTCGAAAATATACGCTGGTTTCATCATATCTGCATAAATCTGAGTGTAATCCAGTTCCTAAAAATTATATAAAATTTATTATATAAAATTTATTATATAAAATTATATAAAATCTCTTTTCTTATATATATACTTACGATAAACTCGTCCCATTCTGTACATAAAACTATCGCGTGTGTATTCTTCGTTGCGCTATAAGCATCTTTATAAATACTGATTCGACTTTTTATATTTTCAGGATTGCTCGTTATGTTTGGATGAGTTAAGTCTTGAATGATTTGAGTTTCTTCAACCTGTGAGTTAAAAAGGCGTCGTGTAACAAGCATAATACACTTATTGACCATTACTGATTAGTAAAATGTATTTTTTCAATTTTTATCTAATGTAAATATTATTATCTAAACTGAGAACAAAAATATGGAAAATACAGGATATAATTACATCCCAAAATATTTAAAAGAAATAAACTAAATTTTTAACTTAAATTGAAAATTTCTAAGATCTTAGAAGTTTAATTTAAAGAGGAATCAATAAAAAAAAAACATTAAATGCCACTCGTGATAGATTATAATCAAATTTAAAGAATCTATTATTAAGAACAAGTCCGATACATCTGAAATACATTGTACATAGAAAAGAGAAAGAGCTGACCTTGGGATCATAAATGTGAAGAACAGCGCCTTCATCCAACAACGTCTTGGCGACGTGAATTGCTGGTGATTCACGCGTATCTCCTGTATTTTTCTTGAAGGCAAAACCCAGCATGGCAATCCTCTTGTCCGTCACAGTGTTAAAGAGAGATTCTATAACTTTCGCAGAAAATCTTGACTTCTGATATTCGTTCATATCAATCACCTGTTGCCAATATGCCGCCACTTCGGGCAGATTTAAGCATTCGCAAATATATACTAAATTTAGAATGTCTTTTTGGAAGCAGGAACCTCCAAAACCGACCGACGCATGAAGAAATTTTGAACCGATTCGAGAATCAAGCCCGATTGCTCGTGCGACTTCGGATACGTCGGCACCCGTAGCTTCACACACTGCTGATAACGAATTTACACTGGAGATGCGCTGAGCGAGGAAAGCGTTTGCAGCCTAAAATCAGAGTGAATATAAATGAATATTGCAATTTATCAGTTTATTCCTTGAAAGTATATAAATTTAATTTGATTAAAAAGTTACATGTCTCTATCTTATTTGCGGAAATACACTTACTTAAAAGATTTTATGAATAATATTATAATAATATTAAATTATATACTTTTATAAAGCAAAGGAACTTCAACAACGATATATGTATAAACATGTTTTAAATTGATAATTAAAACTAATTAACTAATATTTTAATGAGTTATATTTTATTTTTAAGTAACTCAAATATGTATAACATTTAATTAATTACATAAGTTAGTAAAAATATTGTTTCAATAAAAAAAATTTAATTAAACATCGCAATTTCCTTTACATTGAATTTAAGTTATTTATTGCGTAATTTATCTACACTTGTGAACAGTATGTTGCAAGACAATCAATGAGATTTACACAGCTTATTTACATATATGTAAATAAGCTGTGTAAATCTCATTGATTGTCTTGCAACATACTGTTCACAAGTGCATTTCATATTCTGGTTGTAATGTATGATTACTTACTAGCTTCGACAGTTCTGAGCTCCATGTATTAGTTGTTAAAATATTTTCTCTTGGAATCCAATGTTCGTAAACTTTACAAAGTTCTTCGATAGCTGCCTGTCCTTCTGGCGAAGACTCTCCGCCAATCAACACTCGATCTGCGTTGACCAGATCTTCTATAGCGGTTCCTTCAGCCAGAAATTCCGGATTTGAAAGAATCTGAAAAAAATTAATATTCCAGTAAATATCAAGGAGATAAATAATCTCAGTGAATATGCAAATAGATAAATAACGCGCAATAATAGTAAACATCTGAGCGACGAAAAGGTCATGAATAATACGGTGTAAAGCAAGAGCGTTATCTTGAATGAACGACGATTAATTTAAGCAAGTATGAAATCATACGATTACTATTAGCGGTTCGACAATCAATCAACTACAGGCACAGCAAAAACGCAGTAAAATCTTGCATGCCGTGTGTTTTATCGAGTGAATTAATTCCGAAAATGCGATTCAACATTTTACAATTTTCACGCAACATTATGTTACAATGTCGATATACTTAAATGTATATTAGAAGTAAATATACAGAAAGAGATACATCTTAAAAATTAAATGTATTAAATAATGTATTAATTGTATTAAATAGATTCTACAGAAGACAACTGTTAGAAAAACTGTCGTACTCTTTCGTTTAAATTATTGTAAAAAATAGTTTTCTTACCTGATAGGAGACACCCGGCTTGTGATTAGCACGAAGGATGTTCATGATACTCTCGGCCGCTCTTACCGGTACGGTACTTTTTTCTACCACAATCTTATCTCCAGTTGCAACTTCCGCGATCATTCTGGCAGCGCTTTCCACGTATTTCAAGTCCGCTGCTCTTCCCTTGCCGTTGCCAAAGGTCTTCGTCGGCGTGTTCACCGAAATAAATATCAGATCGGCCTCCTTGATCGCTGTCTCAATATCGGTGGAGAAAAACAAATTTTTCCCACGACATTTTCGTACCACTTCGTCCAAGCCCGGTTCGTATATCGGCAACTTTTGTGAATTCCACTGCGCTATTCTCTCCTTGCTCTTATCAACGACAGTCACTTGAATTTCCGGACATTTCAATGCAATAACGCTGCACGTAGGGCCACCCACGTAACCGGCTCCGATACAGCAGATTCTTCGGATTTTTGTCATTTTGATTTACTGCAATATTATTTGACGAAACGTTACGTTTACAATTAGTTATATTTGAAGTTGTACATAGAAAAATCACGGTAATAAAATATTTAGAATAAATATTTGATCATATTTTATATTAAATATTGTAGAAGAATATTTCTTGTAACTTACTTAATTGAAAATAAAACATTGGAGCGAAGGAAAATTCAATAGCTTAAATTTTACTCTTTTTCTTTATTTCATAATTACTATTACTGTTAAATCTATTATATAAACAGAAATATATATTATTTTTTCTTGATATAATTATATATTGTTCAAAATTAGAATCAAATAAACAAAACTGTACAATACATTATTTTATAGTTTCATGTCAGATTATTTTTGTTTATACGCTTCAACAAATGTTTATGACTTGTGATAAAACTAATCTAATCTGATGATAACAGAAATGTTTACAAAAATTTATATTATTATAAAATTTTAAATTAAAAAATTAAACCAGTCATGTAGAATTTGTATTAAACAACTGTTTTACAATACAGTATAGAATTAGATAAAATATGATAAGAATGTCTATGTAAAACTATAATAAAAGTTCACGCAGAATGACTTTTTCGGACTAACGAATGAAGATTCCAAAGAAAGCATTCTCTCATCTATCTCCGTCACAAGGAGATGTTTAAAATTATCATTGCCCAAATAATGCAAATGCCCGGAAGCTGATAAAAATATATCTGCGGGCTTTTTCAATATGTGTCATGACAACGGAAGACCAAATATATTATCTACTTGCTTTCTTCCACTCGCTCTATCATTATTTGACAGTATATCGAGACCCTTCTGTCTACATTCTTATCCATAATATTACGTGTAATTTATTGTGATATACACCAAAATTGTTTTTAATTATTAGAATAATTAAAAGCTATATTATTTAGATTATAGGTAAACATTGAAAAATAAACCGATAAGCTTCTGTTCCTAGGCCTTTGTTTCGGAGCACGATTGGGCGCTGCAATATGCTCCAATTAAAGAGATGTTCCAAAGAGAATCGAATGTCTTTGTTTTGTTACCTGTTTAACTGAAACAATGGATAATTCTCTGGGGATCAGCAGAAATACGGCATGTAGATGGACGCAATGCTGAGTGCGGCGAGTTACGGTCTATCACAATCGTAACGCAGCTTTCACGATGGAAAAACGATTTTGTTCATGAGAGAAAACTGCAGTGCGGCGATGTTTGAGTCGCGTTGCACAGACTTCTGCCACTCTGAACTCTTTGGACGCTACGCGTCCGTCATTTCGCGATGCTACGAGGTGTCGAGGCTGCAACCAGGCCGCGCCATTGTGGCCACGTTGCCATGTTAGAGCATCACAAGCGACACAAGCGCGTGCGACAAATAATTGGCAACGCTGTAATTCTTTCTGAAATCTTTTTCATAAATTTCGTATAAATATTATCGCCAACACAAAACTATAATTTACTGTTATTTTAATTAAATAATCGTTTTTCATTTCAAGATGACTATTGTATGTATAATACATTATTTAATTTCAAAGTAGTATCGGGCTGCTTTATCGACACTCGGCGTCGTTCATTTGACGTCTGACGGTCGGTGCCCGACAGTCGCTAACAGTAGTGTAGTTGTTCTGTGAGTGTAGTAGCTGTAGCACGTAGCACTAGCATATATGTAGCAGCTAGCAGTGGCTGGCTAGCAGCGGTTCGAAGTTCGAGGAAACACGTTTAACACAATTGAACGAGTGTAGTTATCAAATCGCTATTCTTCCCCGTCATACGTAAAATGACTGTCCAGTGTACCGTTAATTGTTCTCTGAGGATAGATTAAGCCACATCCAGCCAGGCATAGGCACATTATAATGGATAGCGTGACAGTGAGTAGACTTTAACCTCGTGAACCATGCACATTCTCAGCTACCGTGATGTTTATTGCATATAGGCGATCGGTATCTCTCTTGACAATACGATATCTCCTATCGTATTGTCTAATACGCGCGAGCGTATTAAAAGTTCCTTCTTGATTATAGGAATAATTTTTGATTTTATAAAACTGTTTTTCTTTTTTTTTGTTATAAATTTATCTGATTGCCATCTTTTTATGACTTTTATATGAATTTTTAATATTTAACTTTCACTGACTTGATTCTGCTAAATCAAGCCTGCTCGAAATTAACTAAGCAACAAAATTTTGTGCTTATTTTGTTACTTTGTTGTTATTATTTAATTATAAAAGTACGTGACATTGGAAAGTAAAAATTTAACCCATAATGTATAACCATAATGTTTAATAAAATCATTATTAAAGGCTAATTCAAAATATATAATAATCGTGGAACTTGCAGACGTATTATTAGTTGATTATTAGTTGAATAAGATTATTAGTTGAATAACGCACATTGAATCAATTTTTTTTTATTTTCAGGGAATAATTTATGCAATATGTCGAGGATTTATAGACAGCTTGAAGGGTACCGTTGTTCTTTTCTACATGGATAAGCAAATTAACGAGAAATTAGTCAGCAGATCTCCTAGCCGAGCAGAGTTGAGAAAAAGAGACTTAGTTATGCCGAGTCCCGCCAAGCATAAGCAACGGTATCCTTATTGTTTACAACAAATAGATACAAGAGAATTTTTTAGTAAAATTTATGAGTTTACTCAATTTTAGGGAATCTATGGTGTTGATGAGAACCATACAATGCTGCGCATTGAATGGCGGAGTGTTTTGGGCTAGTATACTGATATTTGATTTTGGACTCTTGCCATTTGTTAAGTACTTACTGACTATTATATTCGGCCATTCTCCTGGCATGGGCCTCACCGTATGGTCATGGATCCAGCCATTTCTATCCCTTACATTTGGGACAATATGGGTGCTACCACTGTTCTTACTCAGCAGAATAGTCAACAGTTTGTGGTTTCAGGTAATAATTTTTGTAAGAAATGTAACAAAAATTATTTAATGGTATAGTAATGAATATTAGAGCTTATGTAACATAGTATAAATACAGTATATTTATGTATACATATATAGGACATAGCAGACAGCGCTTACAGATACAGACAAGGAAGACCAATGCTTCTATCAAGTGTAAGTAAATTAATAGCTGACACGCTTTTCAGCGTATTAGTTCAAGCATTGTTCTTGGGACAAGGAATGTTGACGTCTAAAGTCCCACTACCGCCATTGGGGGACATTCTTGCTCTTGTCCACATGTGTCTTTTATACGCTCTCTATGCCTTTGAATACAAGTGGTTCAACATGGGTTGGGAGTTACATAGACGATTGACTTTTATTGAAGGCAATTGGCCATACTTTTTAGGCTTTGGCATGCCATTAGCAGTACTTACCCAACTGCCCAACTCTTACTTTATAAGGTATGAAATAATATTGTTACTTTTAAAAAGTCTCAAGATACAATGATTTATTAAAACAATATTTTATTTTTCAGTGGCTGTGTTTTTTCTATTTTATTTCCACTGTTCATTGTAAGTGGAAACGAAGCAGAACCTGTAACTGGAGTATGGTATGTCTTTTACATTAAAAATAATTAATAATATATTTTTTTGTACCATTTATGATATTTAACATAATTTAAATAATTGTTTCAGTGATTTTCAGCTAAAATTATTTTCGCCAGTAATTGCAGTTGCAAATACATTATTCAATAAAACCATTGGACGGGCCAATAAGCGATGGTAGTAAAAATGAAAAAGAAGAGTAAATGCCTAATTTGCAACACTTTAATGCTCTATAATCACCTACTTTTGTTTACAGATAAGAGTTTCTCTCAAACATACCGCCACCCATCCGCGTAGCAAAGGAAAGAAGGTTTGCGCGCAGGAGAAAGCGATGTGCGAGGAGACCGCCGCACCGCGAAAATGGTGGCTTGTGCCCCGGGTTTTCTCCCCATGGAACGGACAACGAGCCCGTTCTTGCCCGAGCCGACAAGAAACATGTGATAGTCGCGAAACATGCATAAATGCATAGCAGTCTCCCAGATGCAGACGGATACCGGCGCGCAGATCCCCCGGCTCGACAACACTGTCTTAATCCACTACTTTTCCCCAATTTATGCTAAATGTAATGGAATAAGCGGAATATGAATCGAATCTTTGAAAAAAAACTGGATTCACTATTAAACAAATTATTAAACAAATAATTGGTAAATGTTTAGTATAATACTCTTTCCTCCGATTAAATGTGCAGTATTTTACAGCCATAAATTATCATTTTCCTACTTACTGATATCATAAAACTTTGAAAAAAAAAGGACATGAGCGACGATTTTCCTTCTCAGAATGTATTTTATGCATAAAAATAAATTCACAAAATTTTAAGAAAATCGGAGGAGAGCGTTATACTAAACTTTGTAACATTTATTTATTATCGTAAGCTATTGAAAAAAAGGGCAAAATTTTAGAATCAATATAAATAAAAGTTTGGTGATATTATTAATGCTTTAATTTTGTTTTGCAACATGTGATGGTTTTATTGATGGCAATATAAAATTTATTATAATTATTTGTAGAATAAAGGGTCAAATATCTTTTAAAACTATCCTTATCTAAACTAGAGTTCCTATATAATCTAAACACGCTACTGTAAAATCTCTAAACTTTTCATTTTCTAATGGTTCTTTTTTTCTTTCTTAATTGGAGGTCGAGACAGGAGAGCCGTGAACTACGAATCGTTAAATTCGTATTACAGCCAAAATAATGAGAAAATCGCACTTTAACTGCGATATTTGTAATCAGCAGTCTCGCCTTCAAACTGCTACAGAGCGATTTTTTGAAAAAATGGTCAAAATAAAAACTCGAAAATTTATTTTGACCATTTTTCCAAAAAATTGCTCTGTAGCAGTTTGAAGGCGATGCTGCTGATTATGAATATCGCAGTTAAAGTGCGATTTTCTCATTATTTTGGCCGTAATACGAATTTTACGATTCATAGTTCACGGCTTGCCGCGAGATCTCCACCGTGTCTTCCTGTCGACCCTTAACAATATAGAAATATAGAAATAATGCAATTACGCAAGGAGATCTTGAAGCGCTAATAGATCTTGATCCGTAGGCTCTTCTTTCACTGTATAAGACATCAATGCATAATGCCTGTGTAATGCCGCAAAACCTAGGCCTGGATCCGTTTCCGTTTCTGTCACCGGACTTGTAGCTCGATCAATTACATGATTTTTGCTTACCTATAACAATATAATTTTTAAATAAAGTAATAAATCTTTTGACGTTTTAAATAAATTTTTTAGTTTCGCAAAATATATTATCTGAAGTTAGTAATTTATCAAATTAAAAACGAATGTATTACTTAATTCTGGAGTATTCTGGTTAGAAAGGTCTTTTTTTTTAGAAATTCACAAAAATATCTTAAAATATCTACTAGATTTAATTACTTTTATTTTTTCATGGCTATTAGCAATCATTGATGTTTTTAATAATTTTCTTTTTTCTTAACTCTATTAAGAATAAATATAATAATCTTAGAATGCTATATGCATACTTCAAAACGTTGTTGTTTGTACATAGCCAATTTACGTGTTCCTGGAGAACTTTGTATTAGATTCTGTATAGTAGGATGAGAAATCCCAAAGAAATCTGCACCCTTCGGCACTATTGTACAAAGAACTGGAGAAATTGCTGCCAGTAACTTTGAGTGGCATTCATCAGGGCTAGATCCAACTAACGGTTGATCCAAGTCATTATCGGATACTATTTCAAATCTATAAATAAAGTTGTGTTCGTATGTTTATTCCAATTTCTTCTAGGAATAACCCTCTTTTAATTGCTACCGTAATCTCTTATACCTTGGTTTTGGACCACCGTCTAATATCTTGCAAGTATATAGGCTCTTTGTTCTTGGATCTCTTAAATTTGCGTACACTCGCGTGCTGCAATAACCCACTGGAAATATAAGCTCTTCCGTGTGATACGCGATTCTGTCTGATACCACTTCACCAAGAGAATATATTGTAAGATCCCCCAAGGCTATGGGAAATATTGGTCTTCCGTGTACATCCAATGGAATCAATTGCACCACTCTTCTGGCCGTTTTGTTATACCTTTTTGTCTTGTTTTTTGATTCTAGGACAAGTTGAAATCATAATTCTTACATGAGAAAGGAATATAATCACTGCGTTACAAGTATTCCTTATTATACAGATTACAGAGTGTTAATTCATAATACTAACTTTGACACTGGCCTATCAGACTTCCGAAATATAAGGGGCTCGTATTCTGAACGCACTTTTATCGATAAATACGCGCATTTATTTCTGAGATTCTATAGTATATGTAACGTAAACTATAATGCATGCATTTAGCGATAAAAATGCGTTCCGAGTACAGGCCAGGACATTTTTACAACTGAATTTACTGTAAAGAAATACCTGATCCATCTGTGGAGGTTCTCTTTTTTACTGTTTTCTTTGGAGTAGTACATTCTGGATTAAGTGATGGCGAATTCGCATTACTCGTTTGCGAACGTGCTAGACTTGTCGAATTAGATTCCATCTCCCCCTGTTGTTGACATAACTTGCGCAGAAGAAACAGCCTCTCCTCTTTAACCAACATCAAATTCTCTTGCATGTGCGCAACCTGATCACATAATGCTGCGTTTTCCTGTATCAGAATTTAGATTACAGTCAATTATGGACACAGTTATATTTATAGAACAGAATAGGACACCTATATAAAAATGTCAAAATATGCCGTATGTTAAAACTCACGAATACGGTATTCTTTACGATCCTCTTAAGTTTTCGGTATTTCTTTTTGTACTTCAGATTTTGCTGCAGCTCGGCATTTTTATGATAATCGTTGTAGTAATTATCATATGCTTGGGCCATATTGCGTTTGTTAATAAAACACTGTACTTGTGCAGATTAAGAAGCTGTGCTGTATCGCCTTATATGTACTGTATTATAATAAGTGTCACAATTCTGACACATACACATAGGTTTAAGAATTTCTGTCCGTTCTTCTTTTTCTTCTTGTTATCACAGATTAATAGACAGATAAGTCAAAGGCCGGGTCTTAGCCAAGGCCCGACAGATAGCCAAGTCTGTCTATTAATATTTGACAATTAATTTGTACTTTCACCTTTCACTTTTACTCGTCTCGCGGTTAATTATAATATGACGCTCCTAACCTAACCTAAGAGCAATGTCTGTCGATAAAGTCGGATATATTTACTATTTAGTCCGGACACGCTCCTAAGGAGCAAAGTGAGTACCGTCAGAGAGAAACCTGAGAGAGGCCATCCCGGTCTTTTTCGTGTGTTGCTGTGTTGCATTTTCCGACGCTAAACCTGTTAAACCTGTTAAACCAGTTAAACCTGTGAAAGTTAACGAAAGATTCGGCATACGTTGTCTTTTATTGTTCGTTGAAAGTTTTCGGTATTTTTGAATCGGCCGCGGCCGCGCGCGTCGTGCCGTTTAGGAGGGGTAGGCCGTGACGTCATGCGCCGCTCCGCGCCGCCGGCGCGGCGGATCGATACGGTGACGGTGACGTAGTAGGCAGTGTAGGCACCTGCGCAGTCCGTACTAGCGGCGCGACCGTTACATTCGAAAGCTCCGTACTTTGAAGATCGGCGCGTTTTCGATGTTGTTTCTGGCGATGAGCGGACTTGTCACTTGTTTCCGTCAACGCTCGGAGTAGTGTTACCTGCGTGAGTGACTCAGTTATCATTCTTCCGAGGAATCTCGCACCGGTAGGAAGTGTTTGTGCTCCGCGCGCGCTCGTCACCGACGTCACCGTGCTTCGTGCTGTTTTCGGAACGCGCTCGTTTCGGTGATTGGCATTCCTGCTTCCTCGTTTCGCGGGCCGCGGGAATACGCGCTACGCGATCGAGTACCGCGCGCCGTGTGCCGTGTGTGCCGTGTGCCGGTGTGTAAAACAATTTAGAGTGTATGAGGTGTTTATCGGAATGAACGTGTCGCGCGACGCGCTCACTCGAGACGTCGAGGCGGAGGTATGTATGAACGACTTGCTTTGCAGTTTCGCGCTGTGATATTCGCGAGTGAGGGTGCCGTCCCATGGCGCGTATCGCGGTACGCGCGTACCGGGCGTATCGACTAGAGCGACCAATCACAGACGATCCGCCGTTTTTGATACGCTTAAGAATAGCTTCACAATCTCGGATTCTCGTATATCTCGCGTCGCGTAAGATTAGCGGCCGGCTGTCACGATTCTTCGTTGTGCATATTAATAAAATGTAGTTATACTTTCGCGAGATTTACGAGTTTGATACCGTACGTACTGTGCATGAGTGCGATATTTAATTTCAACGGCGTATCACTGATTATAACGAAGTGCGTGTTTTTATTAATCGTCCGCTCGACTTGCGTAGTATCGCCAGTAACGCGGTGATGAACGCGGAACGACGCGGAGCACGCGGCGTCGCGACTCCTTCAAATTTGCATGAAAAATTCATGTTACCCGATTTTATATTACAGAGTAAAGTACTTCCCTCCCACGGGTACGACCTTGGCGAGGTGGGAAGGCTCAGTACCCAGTACGAGGATTTTACCCAAGCAAAACTCTTGTTCTGCTTGGATAAAAATTCAAAGACGGGGAAGCTAACGTACCCTCGTTCGCCGATTTAATTGAATGAACGAACCGCAGCCGGTTCGTCGCGCGTTTGCATCGGGAGTGCCGCTCATAAGTAATCGGATTAAAGGACTTTTTTAAACGGGAGTGCCGTACAATATCGCGCGAGAAAGACTTTTAACAGAACGTAGTCCGCGCGCGCGTGTAATTTATCATCCGCGAGTGTTTCTCGCGAGTGTTCTGTGCGGTGAGACGAGGAAGCCTAAGTGTCCTGAGAGGAGGAGGAGGCCTGGGAGAGGCATCGGGCACCGGCGGAGCAACCTTGGGGTGAGTATCATCTCTTATATCTGCGTAAAATTAATAGTTCTTTTTTATTTATTTGACGTGTTTTATCTCGATAAATTAAAAATAATTAGAGAAACAGGTTATCTAAAATTTTACTCTTGTAAAGATCGTTTTCGGTGAACACAAATACGTGTGTTGCTAAATATTTTATTAAAAGACAAATTAGTTGCGCGTAAAAATTATATCTTGAAATGTTGATCATTTTGAACGCTTCTTTTGAATCTTATGTTTGTATATGTTACAGTATCACCGTAGCTACGTGGCTGAACAACTCCGCCCGTTGCACATCGGCGTGGTGAGTCAGAATTTTTTTT